GCCAGTAGAACACAGGCTGTCGGTTTACTGGAGTAAGCACAGCGGTGCAGATAAGATCTGTAAGATTGGCTTTTGTTGAAGCTGCTTTTAACGCGGCAGAGCAGAGCGGGAGTTATGCAGACGCTGTGGGGCTAGCTAACTCAGAAATAACATCTAGTTTGGTCGAAACAGGAGTAACAACAGGAGAGACTCCTGGCCCCAGGGGGGCAATGGAAGCGGGGTCTCCCCCGCCTGTTCCAGCGAGCGTGGAAGGGACAGCCCGTAGCTTTGCAGCTACCGGTTGTTTGCCGGAGTAGACGAGGTTACCGTGGTAACAGCAGAAGTGAACATGGGAGTGACAGAACAAGTAAGAGCTAAGTTGTATCAGTGACGGGACAAGAACTGTGAAATCTGAAAGGTCGGCTTTTACTAAGGTTGCTTTTGGTGTGGAAACAAAGGAGATTTTAGAGATCGCAGCGAAAGCGCTGCTGGAACTGGCCAGTGCAGGAACGGCGGCAGGCGTAAGGGTCGCTGATTTAGGGGCGACAGCCCCAGGTGTAGGTGTGTTTGTGGAACCGAGTAGCCCAGGACCACAGATGGGTGCTGAGGCAGTTGATTCTATCGGTAGCGATAACAGTATGAGAACTGTAGAAACAGAGCTGCATGCCCCAAGTGCAGGAGAGACCCCAAAGTTTGCTGCAAACACAGCAGGTTGTACTGCTGTAGGGGCAAAAACAGAAGAAATAAGCTGGGTTAAAATGTATGAAGTCAGGGAAAAGGCAAATGAGTCGCCCACAGACTTTGAACAGGTTGAAGGATGTCGTCAGAAAATATACTGATATTGATATAGAGTCAGATATGGGAAAGAAACACCTGGTATACTTGTTTGTGGGACAATCCACAAATGATATAAAGAGGAAACTGCAAAAGGCAGGTGGCAGTGAAAGAGATATTGACGAATTATTAGATATATCCTGGACAGTGTATCAAAATAGAGAACAGAAAGCGACTATGGTGGGCGGTGAGGCGATTGTAAGAACAGTCGTTGACGCGGCAACGGAACTCCCAGCTCAGAGAGCAGGGGAGGTTTCTGGAACGGCCGTTACCATGGCGACGGAACTAACTGGCACGGTGAAAAGTGTTGCCTGTTCCTGGTACTGTGAGAATGCGCATAACAGGGCAAAACCAGGCAAAGTTTGTCCCAGCTATACCAACAGGCAAGAAAGGAGGAGAAGACCCGGGGACAGAGAAAGCGAAGTTCGAGCAAGGAGCGATACCAAAGTCTAAAACTGTAGCAAGCACAGTAAGGCGGGGACAGGAAAAACTAGTCCCAGTTGTTGCTCTGACTGATGAGGAGGTTTTAGTTCCTACTAGTGTAGTCCAGGCGGAGACGGCAGATGCGAGTGCTGTGAAAGCTATGGGACCGTTGGACACGGCAGCGCGAGAGAGAGCTGGGGCCACTGACTTTGCAGGGGTGGCGGGACCCAGCTCTGCCCTTGTTGTTTCGGGAACTGCCCCAGGTGTGGCAGGCGCGACCAGAGATCGAGTCGTAGCAAAGACACTGGGAGCTACGAGAAAGGCAAGGGCAAAGAGAATAGATGAGAGTATAGAGCCTCCCCTGCCCGTGCTGGCTGGCGTGGGGCGTGACTCCTTCCCCTATAACAGCTAATCCCACGCAAGCAGTTGCAGTGGGTGCGTATGTTGTGGAGATTTTAAAACCACCTGACGACTTTATAGTTGTCATAACAATAAAGATGCCTGCTCCCATAACAAGCGGAGCAGGGCTGAGAGTGAGAGCAGCCAGTGCCCAACCTACCCCAACGTGTAAGAGAGGAAGGGGGAAATCGTGTGACAGTCGCAGACGCCGCCACCGCTCTGTGAGCGCAGGGGCAGCGTTGACCACCGGCACAGAAAGGATAAGTCCAACTGCGGGACAGTTAGAGTCTGGGTTTGGTACAGGAGCTACTGCCGCTTCTGCAGATGGAGTGGGGGCAGATCACTTCCTGGCTGTGGCCAACACGGGCGGAGCTACTCATGGCACCTTGGCGGCTGCGAGCAGGAGACCGGATAGAGATGCAGAAGCTGCAGGAAAACCTAATGCAGCGTCTGTAACTGGGGTCCCAGCCCAACGGAGCTGTCGCTCCCCCTCCAACTTTCCCAAGCTTGCACAATCTGTACCCTCCCACCAGACCGAAAAGGGGGGGCAAAATCAGTGTACATTTCCAACGAACACAAAAACTAAAACCCGCCAGTGCAATATATGTAATAGGTGATGCTTTGAAAAACTATGGGAGCTATCTAAATCTGAAAGAAAAAATAATTTGTCCCCAATAAACAAAACTAAAAAATAGAAATTATCTACTAACCCCTGCGTCCCCTGTCTTTTAGGACTGTCACAGGTTCATAACCTGTGAAGGAATATTTCTACCCTAACTCAGTAAGGGGGGAATACTGTTTTATTTTAAATATAAACTAACAATGTGTCAAAAGTTAACTGTTTACAGATAGTTTGTTCCAGCAAGCAGACCTAGAAGCTGTACCACCAAAATTCAAGCTAAGAACCATGGAAACAACTTTTATGCAGAAGTGGACAAATGTCTTAACTGCAAATGAAATACATCCAGACCAAGGGGTGTTAAACTACAATAGTGAGTAGATAAAAGCCTTCTGACACAATTGAAAATCAACTTGCACTAAAGGTGGTACAGATACATATACATATATTGTAATTATTGTATTTATCTTGTTACTTTCTATTTTATATTATTTTAAACTTCTCTTACTGTTAGCTTAATTGCTAAGAATTGAAAGCTTATATTGCTTTTGCTTTTACTATATGAATTGCTTTAAAGTTTGTAATGTTTATACTTGCGCATATCTTGTTCCAGCAACAATTTGTAAACATCTGTGTCTCTCTGACTACTACAGCTTGTGGAAGAATTTCTCCTAAAAGCAGTTTGATGAAAGGTCCATAGAATTTTCATGTAATTGTGGAATCATGTTTATCTGCTTATGTTTTTAAGATGCTTTCTTATCTAGTGTCATTTAGGAATGTACGTGAACCTAATTGCATAAGAAGTCCTGCACTAAAAAAAAAGGACGGATAAGAAAGTGGCTTCAGTGCTGAGACAGCACTGCAACAGCACTGGTTCTGTGGACTCTCCAATAAGACCCTAAAATCTGGCTTGCACCGTTGCTTACAATCTTTGAGACAATCTGGTAACATCGTTGTTGGAATAATTGGTTTAAATTGCTTAAATGGTTTGCTTATATTACTTCGTAGCTTTATTGTTTTGTTAGTGTTCATATATCTATAAATGCACCTATTTTAACAGGTGAAGAAGCTTTTATCCATGCAGGCAAGAGATACCTGTAATATCACTCCATGAGGTAAAGATGATCAACTGCAGTCTGGGACAGGTTGGAACAGGACAACTTGCCCCCGGTAAGGCCTAGAATTTGTCCGAAGAGTATAAGCTCTCTGTGGTGAGCTACTGGCACTGCCAGGGTGCTGTTTGCATCCAGACGCAACCTGCTTCGTGTAAGCTCTTGACTGACCTATTAAATCTGTGACTGGCAGTTAATCACTTTATGTGATAAAAGCACAAGCTCCTCTCTCAGATGATCAAAATGCAGGAATTCCAAGATCCAAAATTCCTGTGAAATTGTCATCGGACAGAGTCACACTTCATTGACTCCCTAGTTACATAAAGAGGTTTATTTGTAGAATTGTTTGATGTTTTAAGATCTGCTTTGCAGGAACTGCAGAAATTCATCGTGTCATCTAAACCTATGAGACTGAACACTCCTGCTCATTCGTTCCAGCCCAAGGACTGAGTTTATGTTAAACAATGAGACTGAAACTCCTGCAAACCAAATAAAAGGAACTGTTTTCAAGTCCAGCAGACCATCTCCAACGTGGTCAAAGTTATCATCAAGGACCCTAAGTTTTACCCAGGAAGAAGAAAAACCTCTGTTCCTGAGATGAGTAGAGCAACAAAGACTGTTATAAGGACTGTTAAAATAGTGTTTAAGTTTTCCTCTCTTGTTTGTAATGATTAGTATTGCCAGTAACTATGAATTAAATTTAAAACCTAAATTTACATTTGACTTTAGCAAAATGCACCAAACATTCTTTATAAGTTGAGTGCTGAATTTGCACTATGGATTTGGCAAGTTTAAATCATATATTGGATAATTCTTAGAGATATTTCATTAAGTTTATTTCCACAAACTTCCTTCATAGTTACCAAACTGAACCTAGATAGAGCAACCATTCATATGAGTGTAAAATCTGCATAATAACTTGTTATATGATTAGTGTTATGTATAAGTAGTAGAGATTGAACAAGATCTTTGAATCTTGTTTAATCTCTAAAGGGGGGACTGATGCCTTAAGCCCCTATTAGTTTTTATTTTTCTAATTTTTGTAAGTTTTATAAGTAGTAGAAGTAGATTTTAAAAGCAGCAACCCTTACTCCCTTTCCCTGTAGGACAAGTAGTTTGCACATTCCTTAACCCTCTTACCCCATTCTATGCTCCCCATATCAAATCTACCCCTGAATTCAGTGGCAATGTTTAGTCTCTTGTCAAGGCAAGGCCTATACTGTTTAGAGAACACCCATATCTAGGCCTGACCAACAAAACAGAGTCAAGAACTAGGTGACTATGTACCCTTTGTGCTCTGAAGATGGTGAAGATGATGAAGAGGTGGTCCCGAAATGCACCCCAGACTCAATTCTCAGGGGGTGGACCTGAGGTGGTCCAGAGCAAAGGTTACGGGCTGGACACATTTGGGATTGGACAGATAATATTATATAATGTAACATCTCGGGCACAGCTGCGCACGTATCTTGTAACATCTATTGCCTTGGTTCAATTAAACCCTTTCCTTATCTCACCCACAATTAACTGCTCCTGAGTTATTTTGTAGCATCAACATTCCACGGCATCAAGTAAAATGCCAATTAGGGGCCAGTCACTATCCTCGTCATCAATTGCTGGTACTTGCGTACAAATCCAGCATTCAGTTTTCTGAAGAATTTTAGACACATTTTGGACTAGGGCCACATGCAATTTTTGATCCCAAACTCGGTTCATAGTTACCGGTAGCACGAACAGAATACACAGCAAAAACAGTCTATGCCACATCTTCTTCGTCGGTGTCCAGTTCTGATTGACTGGTTGTTCCGGGCGCTGGTGCTCTTTTGACTCTGGAATAGTGAAACCAGGGTTCTCTGCCAGCAACTTTGACGGCGGTGAGGGAAGTCAGCAGGACTTGGTATGGTCCTCTCCACTTGGCTCGCAAGGGGTCACTGTTCCACCACTTGACGTAGACCCAGTCTCCTGGTTGGAATGGATGAGCAGGGGTGTCCAGTCCTATGGGTCTGGATAACTCGATGACCTTCTGGAGCTTCTGTAAAGTAAATCCTAAAGCAATCAAATATTTTTGTAAATCGGTTCTCCCTCTTATGTGTACGTCCCCTGGTATTGTGTGGTGCCTGATATGGTCTTCCATACAATATTTCATATGGACTTATATTATCCCTATGCCTCTTAGCAGAGCCAGTGGCAAAGCTTGAACCCACAACATAGATGTTTCTTGACAAATTTTACTAATTTGCATTTTCAGAGTACCATTCATTCGCTCAACTTTGCCACTAGCTTGACGTTTATAGGGGGTGTGTAGGTCCCAGACAATTCCCAGAATGCGGCATACTTCTTTCACTATTGTCGCAATGTGTTCCTCTATCTGATGACATTCCTAGAGGAACCCCAAATCTTGGAAGTATGTGGTTAAGCAAAGTTTTTACCACTTCCCTCACTGTGTTAGTATGACAGGGGTATGCTTCAGGCCATCCACTGAAAGTGTCAACCAACACAAGTATGTATTTATACCCCCCCATGGTGGTAACTCAGCAAAATCTATTTGCCAGTAATCTCCAGGTTGGTCTCCAGCCTTTGTTACCCCTAGTACCACTCTCTTTGTTGTATCTGGGTTGTTTCATTTACAGATTTCACACTTACCTACTGCACAGCTTCAGTCATACCTGTCCCTATTACTGTTTTCTTTAGATGTTTTAGAAGGTTTTCTGTTCCCCAGTGGGTAGTCTCATGTTCCTGTTGAGCTATTTCTCTAAGGAGCAGTGGTGGAACTATAACCTGTCCGATAGGGGTAACAGCCCACCCACCTTCCTTGATCTCAACTTTCAGTGATTTAATTAACTGATTGTCTTTCTCATCATATTTAGGGGTGTACTTTGTTAAATCAATTTCTTTTTGTGGTACTATTGCCAGGATGCCTTTTTCTGCAGCCCCTTTTGCTGCTTGATCAGCAAAATGATTTCCCAACTCGGGAGTTGTTTTCCCCTTTTGGTGGGCTCTACAATGCATAATAGTTACCTCTTCCGGTTTCCAAGTACTCTGCAGGAGTGCATGGATTTGGTTTGCATGCTTGACTCCACTGCCTTGGGCTGTCAGTAGTCCTCTCTCTTTCCAGATGGCTCCATGGGCATGTACAACACTAAATGCATATTTTGAGTCAGTCCAGATATTTACCTTCTTTCCTTCGCTCAGTTCCAAGGTTCTTGTCAGTGCGATTAGTTCTGCCTTTTGGGATGACACATCCGCTGGCAAGGCCTTTGCCTCAATCACTTCATCTCTGGTCGTCACTGCATAACCTGTGAAGCGCTTACCATCTCGCATGAAGCTGCTTCCATCTGTATACAGTTCCCAGTCTGCATTTTCCAGAGGCACATCTCTCAGGTCTGGTCTGATGGAATAAGTTTCCTCTATAGTCTGTAAACAGTCATGCTCGGGGACACTGTCGGTTAGTGTTGAGGACAGAAACATAGCTGGGTTTACAATAGATGTTGTTTTCAAAGTAACATCATCCTGTTCCAGCAACACAACCTGATACTTAAGCATTCTGCTGGGGGACAGCCAGTGGCCTCCCTTTTGTTCAAGCATGGCTTGAACTGCATGGGGTACATACACAGTGATGTGCTGCCCAAGGGTGAGCTTCCTGGCCTCTTCAATCAGGATAACAATCGTTGCAACATCTTGCAGGCACCACGACCACCCTTGGCTAACACTGTCCAGTTGTTTAGAGAAATAAGCCACAGCTCTTTGTTGGCTTCCCAGAGTTTGCGATAATACCCCCAGAGCAACATTCAACTGTTCATGTGTGAACAGTTCAAAAGGTTTAGTCAAATCTGGTAATCCTAGTGCTGGAGCTGACATCAAGGATTGTTTCAGCTGTTTAAATACATCTCTGGTCTCATCTGGCCACGTTACAACTCCTTCTTTGACTGTTTTCAGGGCTTCATACAGAGGTTTGACTAGCAACCCATAGTTAGCTATCCACAGACGACACCATGCTACCATTCCCAGGAAGGCCTGCATCTCTCGTACAGTGTGGGGCTCTGGGAGATGGTAAATGGCCTCTTTCTGGTCTGTACTGAGTCACCGATGCCCACGATAGATTTCAAGTCCCAGGTAGATGACTATCTCTTTGGTTATCTGTGCCTTCTCTCTTGAGACCCAATACCCACTTAGCCCCAAAAAATTCAAGAGACAGTGAGTTCGATGCATTGGTCTCGGTTTTTGGTTGCAAACGTTGCTGTCTTCTCCAGTCCTCCAGTTCTTTTGCCAACTGGTTCCCAAAAATTGTTGGACTGTTCTTAAAGCCTTGTGGAAGAACTCTCCAGGTTAGTTGCATTTTCCTCCCTGTCTCAGGATTTTCCCACTCAAAGGCAAAAAGCTCTTGACTGTCTTTATGTACAGGAATGCAGAAAAAGGCATCTTTAAGATCGAGTACAGTGAACCATCCTTAATCTTCTGTCAATGTGATTAACAGTGTATAGGGGTTGGCTACCACCGGGTAGATGTCCTCATTTTATTGATGGTCCTAAGATCTTGGACTAGCCGATAGCTTTTGCCATCAGCCTTTTTCACCGGTAGGATGAGGGTATTAAATCTGGATTCACATTCTACCAGTAAACCAATTTTAAGAAACCTTTCAATTATAGGTACTAAGCCTTTTCGGCTTTCTAGTTTCAAAGGATATTGTTTTTGCCTTACCAGGACTGCTCCTGGCCTGAGTGTGCTTACTGGTTCAGCTTGCTTTGACTTCCCAGGGTACTCGCTGGCCCAGACTAAAGGTATGACAGCATTTTCAACTTCTGCAGGGATCTCTCCATGATTTTCCTGTATAAAGAAAGCAGCTGTCTCGATATATTTAGTATCTGGAATAATAACTTTTATGTCTCCCCCCCTGCAGAATTTAATTTGAGCTTCTAATTTTTCCAATAAGTCTCTACCCAGTAAAGGCCTAGGAGAATTTGGCATGTAAAGAAATTGATGAGTTACCCAGTGCTTGCCCAATTTGAATATTAATAAAGCAATTTTGATCCCTCTCCCTGGTCTTAAAGACAGCATCAAAATAGGCAAATAGTTCCCCATATGTGGAAATATGAACAGGCTCAGATACAACATCCATGTGAATACATCAAGCAACATGGTGATCAGGGAGTTTCTGTATCCAAATACACAAACACTTAAAATGAAATTGTGATTCTGACTTCTCTCTCGTACCCCACGTTGGGCACCAAGAAATGTGCTGGTTTAAAGCTAAACCGGCAGGAGAAATGAACCCAACTCAAAAGAGATTATAAGTCAGAGTTACAATTTAATAAAAATAATACCATAAATACAATTATATAGACAAACAATTGGTTTAACCCACAAAACCCAGATGTATAACCCAACACCCTGGGGCACGAACAGAGTGGTGTTCCTTGGACCCTGTGCTAAGCCCCACGTGGTCTCCCTGAGTCCAGAGTAAAAGGAGAGGGAAAACCTGTTGGTGAGAGTGCTGGTCGCAGTCCGGTCGAGAGTGGTGGTTGCAGTCCGGTCGAGGTTCTGGTCCTCCTCTGAATCCAATGAATGGTATCAGAAGTCCCAAGACCCCAAGATTATATACCCTCAGGTTCAGGCAGGAATGCCCAGTACCTCCCCCAGGGCGGGGAGTTCTACAATGGGTGATTGTAAGTCGTGGGTGTGAGGACAGGAGCATCCTCCTATCTCACAGGCCTCTTAACACCCAGGTTATAGCCTGAGGGGTCAAGTGTGCTCTGGGCAGTTGCTGTAAATGGTCTATTGCTAACAGTTTCTGGAAAATGGCATGGAGGATGTAGAATACACAGTTTGAGTTACACCCACACAGTGATGAACTGGTCCCAACTGTTCTAACTAGGACATTGGTGTAGAGGCACTTCAGCTGGGCTATCGGACTCTTCACTTTTTGGGACAAACCCTCCCTAATTCCTTTGGGACGATTTACAGGTATTACCCTGATGCTTCCTCAAGTGTTGGTGTTTCCTGGTTCCTCCCTGACACTCAGAAGTACATCCCCTCCCCCTGCTAAATCTAGTTTAAAGCTCTGCTAATATGTCCAGGCAACTTGCTTTCCAGAACACTCTTACCCCACTTGGTTGCGTGTGCCCCATCCAGTGTCAACATGTTCAGTCTCTCGAAGGCATGTCTGAGATCATAGAACCCAAAACTCTGAGCATGGCATCAACCAGTTATTCACCTGATCCTTTCATCTCCTTCTTCCTGGGTCCCAGTCTCCAACTGGGGGAGGACAGAGGAGAACACTGCCTGTGCTCCTGATCCCTTCAACATCTTTCCAAGGGACGTGAAGTCCCTTTTGATATTTTGCAATCTCCTCATTGCAACCTCATTGGACTCTACATGAAAAGGAGTGGATGATAGTTCTGTGATTATACCAGACTTGGTAGCCTCTTTGCGACATCAGGAATGTGGGCCTCTGGTAGGGAGCAAACCTCTCTAGAGAGATTGTCCAGACGACAAATGACTGCTTCTGTGCCTCTCAGGAGTCTCCAATAACTAACACCATTCCTGCTTTTTTGGTGGCACTGCTTCTAATATGGATGGTTGATTGCACCAACTTTGAACTGTTGTCCTTTTCTTGGTCTTGACTACTTATTATGGAGTCTTCTCCTTTCAGCCCCAGTGTCATATCTGTTGTGTAGGGGCACTTTGGTAGCAAGGAGGAGACTCTTCCTTCTGCTCCAAGCAGAGTCAAGACTCCAGTCTCCCTTATCTTGCAAATCAGCCAAGCCCATCAGCTCAGGGTTGGATGCTAACTTACCTTCCTCTTCAAAGGACTTAAGGCAGGACTGTCACTGTGCCTGTGTCAGTGCATCAATCTCCAGCTCAGATTCCTGGACAGAGCCTGGTGAGCTCTTCCTGCAACACAGCAACCTGCTGAAAAAGCTTATCAAGTTGAGCACACTTGCGCCCATGACACCCACCTCTGCCTTCAGTCCCCAGGGGGACTTCCAGATTCTGGAGTTCCCTGATGCTGAGTGTCTGGGTAGCTCTTTTGGTCTTCAGGATATCTATTTGGGTGTATGTTTGGGTGTAACTGTTTGGGTGTCGCCAAGGACGCTGTGGCCTGTCGGAGGACAGAAATTGTGTGAACAATTTCTGTTCCATTTCTGAGACCTTTGCCTTGGCATGGTTGTGTGCAGACAGTAAAAAATACTACACCACTAATATGGCTGCAGGCCTTGTGCCAAGGTGAAGGAGGAGTTCTTTTGGCAGGTAAACAAGTTTTATGGACACCTGCTGTTATCCAATTAGTACTGTACACCACAGTATGTTTCCCTTATGTATCCAATGTAACCTGGGGAAGAATCACATGTCTGTGTGTCACAGGCAGCATATAAACTGTCTTTCGTCTAATAAAGTGGACATTTTTGCCAATCATATTGATCTGTGAGCATTTCTGTCTGTCCCCCTCCACCGTTATCTGACGCCCATTGAACAGGGAGTCCTACTTCGTCGAGTTCTGCAGGGACATAAGGTGAACAGAAGGAGCTGAGGGAAGTGGTCGATAGAGGTGACGCTGTCCCCGGCATCACAGAAAAAAACCATGCGCATGGTACAGAGGAACCTCACCCTGGCTAGGTGAGTCGACTGGGGGAGAGAGCATGGGGCCCACGCTATCCACAGAGGACGAAGCGGTGGAAACGCTCCTCCAATTTATGATCTCTCTAAGAGAGCCTATTTATGATGAAGAAGCCCCTAAAGGGTTAATAGAATGGGTGAGAGCGAAGAATCTACTTCCCACTGCTCAAACCACCTTTCAGGTGTCCACAAGGGACGCTGTAAAGGAATTGTTTTGGGACGGGATCTCTACGGGATTGGAAGACGCTAGAAAGTGTACTATAATTTGGTGTCTGGCAGTTGAGTCTCTACAAGAGTTAAGTTCTGAGCGACGGGAACTCATAAATGTTCAAACAACTCTGTCGGGAGATGGCGGGACTACGGCAAGTCCCCGCCCCAATCGGTCCGCTGTAGGGGAGATCCCCGTGCAAAGTTGTGAACGCTAGAAACCTTAAAAGCAGCGGGATCACCTCCGTTTAGCACCGTGCATGTCGCAGCAGACAGTGTAGAGGTTGCAGGAAAATCAGTAGTGGCGGAGATTAAAGCTGGAGCCGTGCCAATGGCACCGCCCTCTACTGTGGCTGCGCAGTCAGCGGTGTCACTCCTCACTGCGCCTGCTCTGGGCTCTGAGTCAGTGGTTGCTACTGCGCATGTGTCGCCTGGAACAACGCTGCTAGGAGCCTCCGCGTCGCTAGATGGCTCTGCATCGCTGGCACCTGAAGCCACCATGAAACCCGGAAGAGAGCCAATGAGAATCGCTGTCATGGCAACAGATGCTGTTTTCAAAAAAACAAAACAAAACAAACAAAAAACCAACAAAACCCAAACAACCAAAAAACCAAACACAAGTTTCCAGGTATAGTACATATGAAAGAAAGTAGCAGCTATTGAGCCTTGAATTAGAAGATGCTATATTAGCACAAAAAGCAACCCCGAAAAAGTGTCTTACTGACAGGAGAGGCAGGTTAGAGAACTGCCTTCCCGTATTTTTG